AAACCCGAAATGTAAGGAGTTTTGGCATAAGTTTACTAGAGTTCAGATTATTAATAGAAATGTTGGTGCAGGTAGTAAGGTTGGTTCTGTTATGAACTGTGTATTAGTTACTAAGTCAAGAAGTCGAATTTGTTTCTTTTGCCCCGTGTAGTGCTTACTGTACGAACTGATTGGAGGTCCTTCTTTATAGATTTTAGGCTATGCCTTTTGGATTGATAATCCCCGTGTTTGATTGTGTTTGACATTTGAAAGTTATGTGATATTGATGAGCGAGTTTGCATCAGATGTGCTAATGATTTAGATGATGAAATGTTGGGGCTTTAGGTTGATTTTAGTGTCCCTTGTGTTTGCTAATGTGCATCAGTGAGGAGGAATCGAAGCAGAAGATATACAACGTGTCCTGTGAGAGATATACTGGGTTCGGCTGTGAGATTGATGAGGAGACATCAAACAAGCTTGAAGGTCAGTTGTCTTTCTCTCTTTATCTGGTTTCTTTAAGCTGGTCTATTCCTCAGCTCTGAAATAATTTGTATTTGTGAACAGGTTTGCCTGGGGTATTGTTTGTGCTTCCAGACTCCTATGTTGATCCTGAGTACAAGGACTATGGGGGTAAGGCTTGTTCCTTTTAGATGAATCGTGAGCTATCCTCTATTTATCATTGTGGCATATAGTTTGGTAATGACATATTGACGGTTAAAATGTGGATATATTATTTTTCGTTTTTCGTTGGATCTTGAGTATATTTCAAGGGTAAATAATGGCTTCAATATTGTTTCTTTAGTTTCTGAAAGCCTGGCTTACCTATAAAACTGGATTTGATTGCTGAATGACTTGTTTTGACTGGGCAAGAATTTTGGTTGTTCTCACCTTGCATGTTGTGGTGCCCTAGAGGCATCAGTGTGAATGTTTAATGAAAGATTAGATGTGGAGAGCATAGTGAAATACATTCACGCATCTAGAGCATGAACTGTAGAATTTCGTAGGATATCCTGATCAGACGAAGCTGTGTCTTTTTCAATGTGCTATGAGCTTGATGCATTTAATGAACTGAAAGAAGAAATTGCTTACTTTTAAAAGGTGTTATGTCTCCACCATTTATGTTTGAGTGTAAAAATATATGTTTGTTTGTTCAATTAGTTATAAACTTTGCATGTGTAGTTGACAAAGAAAAGTTCAAGGCTGCGTTTCTGCTGGGACTTTATGCCATTCTTAATGGTGGAATCACTCGTGTGGAGTCAACATAGGATGATTTTAGTTTAATGACTGGTTATGCATATATGTTGTTTCCCTAGTGAGTATGAGTGTGTGTTGTGGGTGATGATAACTAAAATTTGTCTATTAAAGATTTCTAAATGCATGATAGTCCATCTTGGCAAAGCTGAAGAGTCTGTCGACAATGTTCAGCTTTGAATGCTAATGGACTAATATCAAATGTCTCTCTTAACTATGCTCAGCTTTCTAGTTCCATGTAGCTGCAGTTCAGTGGAGATGAAACAGAAGTACTTCATCGTTACACTAAATTCTGTTTCATCACAAGTCTGATTGGTTATTTTATTGCATGGGTGAGTGTTGTTAGTGATGAATAACTAAAATGTGTCGATTGGGGACATCTGCCAGCATGATAGTCCATCTTGGCGAAGGTGAGGAGTCTGTTGACAATGTTTAGCTTTGAATGCTAATGGAATTATATCAAATGTCTCTCTTAACTATTCTCAGCTATCTAAATTTCATGGATATGCAGATCAGTGATGAAACAGAAACACTTCATCATTACACTGTATTTTGAGTTTGTCATGAGTTTGATTATGGATCTTATAGTGACTAGTGTCTCAATAATTTTAGGCGGTCTTTAACAAGTATGCTTATTTTGCTGGCTGCAAACTGATTGACGCACCGAGACATGGACCTTAATTTTTGTAAACAATATAATGATTTATGCGCTTTTGAGAATGCTTTCGCATGGTGCATTGCAAGTCTCAGAAAATAATATTGACTTAATCGATAGAGCTGAACATATCTTTTTTCTGCTCAGGATGATTGAATGCGGTTGTTAAATGTGAATGCCGTCTACTTCTATGAATTTCGCATGGTAGAGAAACAGACTTTATTCTTGTAGACAATACCGAAAAAAAAAAGACTTTTACATGGATAAGGTGGCCTGTGCATGAGATTCTGAAAAGTTATATCCTTATTCCTGCATTTGTCAATAGACTTGGTTAATGTTGTTACTGTGACAGCAGTACCACTTCTTTGTATTCCACATGGGAAATACTTTGGCCTCGTTTTGGCAATGCTTTAAGATACTGTGTAGAGCTCTCCATTTTGAAAAATATTTAATATTATGGACTTGTTTGGCAATCTATATAAATTAACTGTTCTTTACAATGTTCTTGTTTTTGCTTCAAAATGATTTTTGGTTGTTTTTGCTGCTGTTCTCTTTTTTGTTCAAAGAGACAAATGTAAAAGTTGATTTTTTTTATTTCATTACTATGTATGTGGAAACTATTGTCTAATAGATGTTGATAAAAGTTTCTTCTCCACTTGAAAACATTAAACAGTTCTTGTTTTGGGTTCTGAAAAATCGTTCGCTAAAGAAAAATTTTCAAAATCACTTTTTGGAAAAGCGCTGTCGTCTTGGTTTGTCATAGGCTTATTGAGAAAATAAATCAAGGTAAAAGCATTCGGTTTAGAAGTCCTTTTGTGGAGTCTCAGCAAAAATGCGGTAGAGGGTGGTTGTGGTAGATTGCTGGCCAATTGATTATACTCTGTAGTGCAGATGATAAAAATGGTCATTTTACCCTTTTTACTTAATTTCCATGTATAGAATGGTCCTTTTTTCTTTATTAGCGCCACATGGGTATCCTTTGACGTAGTTGCCCCCCCGGGACTTGTGTCCTTTGGCTTGGATGCTCCATGTACGACGGAGTTGCGAAAAAAATGGAAATGGGAATATTAAAGGCTCATCAGCATGCTTTGTCGTAATTCTAAGGCATGGTACAAATCCGGGGATATTAAGATGTGGTAGCATGTCATGCATGCCATCTCTAAATATGGAGCATATACAAATCCAATTCACCTTTTTGTTTGAACTTACTAGTGTATTAGTTTCTAGCTGATCTTGATGTCATAGAAGGGTATTAACTTATACTGCGGTCTTGCTATATGTTGTAGCTGAGCTGTTTGTGAATGGAGAGATTGTTCAAAGATCACCTGAGAGGCAAAGGAGAGTGGAGCCGCAACCTCAGAGAGCTAAGGACAGGCCAAGATACAATGACAGAACAAGATACGTCCGCCGTAGAGAGAACATGGGTTGATCTGAGAAATTGGTTAACAATATGTATATGGGTTCTGTTTAGAGTATGCCGTGCGGGGTGGCAAGTCTTTATCCATGTTCCTGCAATATGCTTAGTCGACTTTGGACCGGGGTGAATGGATTTATTTTGTGCTGCTCTTTCAGATTTGCATGAACTCTGTTTAATGTTGAGATGATGCATGTAAGCCCTGTGCTTGGAATTCCATCGCTGAAGAATATTCATATAAAGCTGTTATTTTATACCGAGTCTGAAAATTGGTGGTGTTCTTGGTCCAGACAAGAGTGAATGAACTGAATTGCTGCCTTTGTCGAGTTTCAGAGATGCATTCGTATGGAATAATTGATATTGATGGGTTCTGAGACAGCTCTTTTGTCGTAAATTAAGGATGATGTTCCTTAGAAAATCTTTGCCAAGGTACCGGCTGATTTGTTCGGAAGGAGTTCTTGATTCTCTGGTGTCTAAACTCTTGAGGGCATTGGTTCCAGGACGAATTAGCTCAGAAAATATTGTGTTAGCTCGTGAGTTTGTTCATTAGATATAAGAGACAAAGGCGAGGAAGTTCGTTCCCGCCCGTGTCTTAAAACCTGATACGAAAAAGTCATGACGAAGATCAAATGGAATTGTCTGCATGCGTCGCAACCGTGTCTTAACTTGCTTTCGGTAGAGGATGCACCTTACGTTGCGACGAAGTCTTTATCTCGGAGCCTCTACAATTTTTTTTTTATAAAAAGATCTAACCGTTTAAAGAAGAAAGATAAAATGAAAACAAATATAATTATGAAAAGATGAAGTCATGCCCATTCATACTGAGAACAAATCAGCTACAGGGACTAGGGAGTAATCTGCCGCAAATTCATGAAAATGTAAGTTAAGAATAATCTACCGAACTACCACCATAATCAGTCATTGCCAACTACAAAATATGGGCTAAAAAAATCTAAACGCATCCACTCTTTATAAAGAGAGAACCTGTTATAACCGAAGAATGAGAGTGTTTTGAGTGATGGTACTGGAGTGCTCACCCGTGCTCCATGAGCATTGTTTATGGTGGAGCACGGTTGTGTGTGTACATATATAGTGGGTAGAGAAAATATACCTATGATATCAAAAAGTTATAAACGAAATAATTTTAGTGACTGCCTTTCCTCATTGGATTCCACACACACACACACACACACATATATATATATATATATATATATATATAAAGGAACCAGTGCTTATGACTATTGAAGTTGTCCCCACCCATAATATAGCAAAAATGGAACTAGAGAGTGTACTTATAATACAAGTCATGTCCTAAGTTCGGGAAGATCAATAAGTCTTCCACATGGAGACATTGAAATGGTCAACCCACTCGCTAAGTACTGAGACAACCATTGGCTCAACCCCTCAGGATGCTGTTGGGTTTTATCAAAAGATACAATATCGAGTGTGCACAATGAGTCATACATGTTGACTAGATACCTTGATGTTTTTTTTTTTTTTGGGTAAGGAAGATACCTTGATGTTGATCTACTGTATTCCGTAAAAATTCCAATTAATTCATGACGAGAGGATGACCTAATCAACTCTTATTTTGGACAGAATTAATAATTGTATTAGTAGAAAATCTAGTTCCACTAAGATTGTTATGATAGGAGGCTGACCTGATCAACTCTTGTTTCAATACAATGTGTACGTTGTCTATTTTAACTGTGGCAGGGATGGCAAAAAGAACTGTCTACCGAGCAGACAAACACAAATGCCCATCTTACTCAGTAGTAAACATTTCGAATTTCCATATACTCTATCGGATATTTCGAATTTCGAGACCCATATCCTGTCAAGATGTAACTTCTTGCAATCATGTATTCGCAAAGATTTTAGTTTCTTGAAACTTGAAGCTGGATCAAGCACCTCATCTAAAGATTTGCATCCTTGTATGCACAAGTCTTCCAATGACTCCAATCTTCCTTGAATCTTCACAAGATTATGACATCGTCGCAGGTCAAGTTGTGTAAGCTTCTTCAAGTTTGATAAATTGGGCAATCTCTCAAGTAGAGGCAGTTCACCTAGCTTTAAGATCATCAAATTCTCCAAACCATCAAAGCTTTTTATTTCAGTTAGACGATGACAGTACCGCAAGTAAAGTTCGGTGAGCTTCTTCAAGTTTGATAGATCAGGTAATCTCTTCAGTAGCGGAATTTCTATGAGCTTCCAAGTTCTGAGATTCCCCAAGCCTTCAATGCTTTGCACATCAATTAGATTATGGCAGTGCCCCAAGTGTAGTTCATTGAGCTTCTTCAAGTTTGATAAATCGGGTAATCTCTCCAGTAGCGGAATTTCTATGAGCTTCAAAATTCTGAGACTAGCCAAGCCTTCAATGCTTTGGATGTCAGTTAGATAAAGGCAGTGCCACAAATGCAGAATGACTATGTTCATCATGGAAAAATTGGTGATCTTAACTTCCAAGGGAAAATGATGCCACGAAAGGCATCTCAACTTGGAAAGCATAAGCATATTGTTTTGTAGATTGGCTGGGAAATCATTTGAAGGCCAGTTATCCGGGAAAACCCTCACTTCAGGGTATCTTAGATTAGATAGCCTCTCAACTTCTTCTTTTGCAAAACAGTATATCAACTGAGGGTCAAACTTTCGGCAAAGAGCTTCAATTTTTTTTGTTCCCTGCGACAGTAAAACAAAAGGGCAAGTATAATAATCGTCTTTCCAAATATGAAAAATAAATCTAAGCATTAGTATAACCAAAAAAACAAGTTCCCTCACTTTCTTTTCTTTCTATACTATATATCGATCAATCCAATCTCGACTTATTCAGCTAAGCCGAACATTAGATGCAAATAGAACCTGAAAGGAATTTTTGAATTCAATTCTTATGGAAACAATAATCATGAGATAAGAAATAACTTCCCTTAAACATTATTGAGCAAACAATCACAGTGAAAAGGCATGAAATTTTTCCGCTTGATGGGGATAAAGTAACTGAAATGCAACTTTACCTTCGTTTCCATCACCATGTCCAAACCTTCCTCATGGTTCCGCAACCAAGTTTGCTGTTCTCGTTCCTTATAACATTTTCGACGAAAAATGTCTCTACCAAGGCCTCTTAGCTGAGCATGCATCCATAGCTTATTGTGTTCGTCGATTTTTATCAAAGACATTTTTTGAAGGACTTCAAGACCTTCCTCTGGGAAGAGATTGGAATCTTTCCACAAGTGGAGCACTACCCGTTGATCAAATCCAGTGAAAAGACAAGCTATATCAAGAAAGAGATGCTTTTGCCATTTATCCAAGGCATCATAACTTATTTTCAAATTTCTTTTTACTTCATTGAGAGGAACTTGTTTCAACTTCTTCAATATCTCATCCCAAACATCTTTCCTTCTACGCGGAAGTAGCTTACCTATAGCCTCAAGAGCAAGAGGAAGACCTCCCGTACTTTTGACCACTTCTGTGGAGATAGCAACATAGTCATCCGAAGGGTAATCTCTTCCAAAAGCATGTTTGCAAAAAAGTTGAAGAGATTGATTGAAGTTCATGCTCCTAAGCTCATATGGATAATTAACCTCAGGAACCTCGATAATATCCTTGTTTCTACTAGTTATGATAATCGTACTTCCTAAACCAAACCATGCAGGTTTTCCTACCAGTGCATCCCAATGAGTCATTTGATCAACATCATCAAATAGCACCAGAACCTTTCTATCCCATAACCTTTCTTTTATTCTCTTAATTCCTTCCTCAACATTGCTAATGTTTGACCACTTTTTTTTTAGAACGTCAGAGATTAGTTGATTCTGTAAACCTTCGATGCCCTTTAGCTTCGAAGTTTCGCTGATGTTAGAAAGGAAGCAATGAGCTTCAAAATTATGTGACAGCTGGTTGTAGATGATTTTGGCAAGAGTAGTCTTTCCAACACCCCCCATACCATGGATTCCGAGAATTCTTATATCCTCCGAGTCACCACACATCATTGTATGGATTTCCTTCACACGATTTTCAACTCCGACCAAGTAGTCTGTCACCAGCAGATAAGCCGTTTTCAACTCATCTATAACCTTCTGGACAATCTCGTCTATCAGTTCTCCTTCACCTCTAATATTATGAAAGGAAAAGGGAAAACATAATTAGAACAACAAGGTAATATTATGGAAAACATTGCGCCAAAGTGATAACCCAGAAAATGACATACCTATTCTTCTTTGAATTGTCCCATCCGTTTAGATCGGCAACGTGTTTGAGAGCAGCTTTCCACTCACTGACCTTCGCACCAAATTTCTCCTTATGCAAAAGAAAGGCTTCTTTATAAGACCCAATTTGATGACGAACCTCTGCCGGAGCAACGTCATAAAATATGGGCATAACCTTCTGTCTCCTTATTTCACTACACTCCACAATTTTGACCAACTCATCAAGACACCATTTACTAGAGGCATAGCCCTTGGAAAAGATGGGAATTGCAATTTTTGATTGGCTGATAGCTTTGAGCAACTCAGGACCAAACTCCTCTCCAACTCGGAGCTCTTCATCATCCTTAAATGTGTGGATTCTAGCATCTAACAACCTGGTATAGAGGAAATTTGTAATGCCTAAACGAGTATCTGGCCCCCTAAAACTCAAGAAAACATCATAGTCATATCCAGATGACCTGGAGGTTGATGATGGTGAGCCGTCCTGCTGGTATTGTTTTTCCTGTTTCGGCAGCATCATATCAGGGAATTGCGGTGAGTTGGAGACACCTGCAGCAGTAGCTTCCACACTACCATTATTGATAGCCGATGAGGATGCCGAGTCACTGACAGAAGTTACCCCCATTTTTGTTTCTGTCACAGCTGCTATTTCTTCTCCCCTCAAAGATTCTGTGTTTTCACCTGTTTTACGAAAAATGTTAAGCAATAATAACCACAAAGAGAATTCAGGCAATTGCAGAAGGCGAGGCAACTTCAAGGAAATTTATTATGTTCAGTAGAAATTTCCTTTTAAGTTATAAATCGTGGTGATATGACACCTATCCCTGTAGACAGTAGCTACAACTTGTGAAATTTTGAGTCCAAAGTGATTTTATTCCATATTCATAGATTTTCATCTAATTAAAAGGAAAATCGACAAGGAAATTATGTGGTAGTTATTATAGGAGCATTACATGGTAATACTAGCCAAAACAATTCCTTCATCTAGGGGATGACTGTCTATTTCACGTTTGTGTTGTCTATGTGTCTCGCCAATTGATCAAACTGCTATTTCAGTGAACACTTTAGCCATTTGGCTTTGGTTTTCTTGCTCTCCAAAATTGAGCACCATGAAAGAGGCAGCAGGAAATTGGTCTTGGAGTTTTGCAACTATGCCTCTCATGTAAAACTCATATTCGTCATCCTTCAACCAGTCCGTGGTAATTTGGCCAAAAGCGGACCAATCCGTGGTAAGACAGTGTTCAAACACTGCATCCACATCAACATATGAAAACAATTATGTGCATAAGATTTCCGTACAAATATAGATGAAGCTAGAAGGAGACATCTATCATCAAGTGTCCTTCCTTTGGGCTCAGTATAAACTTGATAGACCATGAAATGAATTAAATTCTTGAGGTAAAATGAAGTACTCATGCAACATAGCTTCCAAATCGCATATGATGACTTGCTACGCTGTCAAAAGTTATTTAGAAACTAAACCGAAGAAATAACCTCGTAAACTTCCAGAAAAGAGTGACTAGTTAAGTTTCTTGTAAAGTAGGATACATGTACCGCAAATCATTTCCATAGAGGTGCAGCGTGATTGATATTTCCAGACTAGTGATGAATCAACTAATGAAATGATCCCCTGAACTTGAAGGATAAGCACCTCATGAGAATCTTCTGCAGATAAACCTATTGAATGCTTATGACCTTTCACCAGCAAGTTCATTTGGGAATGGCGAAATATGCATTTATGACTAGACAGTAGCGCCCGCAAGAGCCTTTGTGATTAACCAGCAAGCAATTACAGAAAGGGCTTGTGGCCAAGTAGCTCCATCGAAGGTTTATCTCTTTCTACTTCTAGGCTTTCCAGACTTTCAAAGAAAATAGCATCTATTTTATATTTTTAAAAAATCTAGGTGAATGATTCATGCGCCCACTTAACCAAGTGAAGCGGGCCCACTGAGAAAAAACCCTCCCCCTGCTCTTTTAAGAGGTGGGCATTTTTTGTCCTGCTGAAAAAGCTTACAAGATAGCTAGTATTTCCATGCTATGGTCCTTCAAAATGGGCACTGGATTGACCTACTCCGGTTTCAGGTTAGTCTCAACAGTCTGATAGCCTAGCAATCATTGACGATTTATGGGATTTCTTCTCTTCAATCCGGCATGAACTGAACTCTTCTTATCAGAGTTGAGTCCCAATGCCATTTGGCTGGTCTATAAAACATTGGTGCACCTTCAAAAGCTACTGAGGTTATGCAGTTGCTTGAAGTTGGTTTGCATGAGCATGGATATGCTCCCAGGTTAAAGCAGGGCTATGGGTTGTGTGAATGGTACCATTCAAGTGTGGATTGGTTCAAGAATTTCCTTTTAGCTGAGGCAAGAAATGAACTCGAAATCAGAAGTGATATAAAATGCAATGACATGCTTCTATGGAAGTTAATGCTTGTGGTGAGAAACTATTTGATCGGAGGTGGTCAACAAGATGCAACAGCCCTACTAACTCCTAGACAGAAAGTTTATGCTTCCTTTGCAAAGTAACAAAGTTGTCAATCCTAGAAGTTTTAGTCTGCATTTGTTTCATGAGCCTAGAGTCCAGTTTTATGACCAAAATGGGAAAAAAAACCAAAAACTACAGTACACAAGCTTCTCTGATCTTTTGACCTATGATATGCCTAATTCATTCCTAGTTTTCACACTGGTTTTCCACTAATTCCCATATTGTTGAAGTACTACAGTGCTCCTAGAGGAGGAAAATGTCAGAAAATAAGACTAGAGACTGTTATTCCACCCAACCACTAAAATAAAGGAGCATACATAGAATCCTGGAATCTGACAATACTACACATATAAACTATTGTAAGCATACCGAGACTGAATACGTTAAAGCTTACCATAGACTCTGTCTGAAACTTCCAACACCCCTCCATCGGGCAGATTCCTGTAAGAGAATATCCAGAGTAAGGCCAGAGTGCACCAGGATTAATCCATATGCTTAACATCAAGCATCTTGACACACTAGAATTGCACTCAGGTAAAACCAAAAGTCATGTTACTTCATTTTACATAACACGTACTTTATGGTGGAGAAAATTATCTCTGTAGACTAGGACAGATTGTAAGTCTGTAAACCAATAATTTGCTCGGGAATGGGAGCTACTTGCTGTCGTTGTTCATTGCATCAAATGTGCATAGTAAAAGGTCAAATAGATTTATGTTGGTAATGTTGTCATAAAGAATTTAGACGATCCCAGTTGTAAACTTCAGCAGTTTCTAAAAAATCGACTCACCTTGTCCTTTTAGACAAATCATCTTTCTCTTGGATGATCTGGTCGGGCAGTGGCTGTGACTGCCGGTCTTCAATCATCCTCCGTACTTTAGACATCGAAGGGCGCGTCGGAGGGAAGTCGGATGCACAAGCCATCGCCACGTGCAACAGTCCCACTAACTCATCCTGGAAATTCTGGCAATCTCCCAACTCAGGATCGAAAGCATCAACAGTCCAGTGCTTTCCGGTGGTGGGCTTAACCAAAAATGCAAGATCAGCCCCATCAGGCATTTTCCCAGTTAGAAGCTCCACAAGAAACACCCCAAAGCTGTAGACATCCTCCTTTTGAGGGTCAGCGGCCTTCGATGTGCCATTCGCAGGCGCCTGGATGTGGGTCAGGCCGTAATCGGAAACTAACGGATCATAGGATGCCGTGAGGAGGACATTGGTTGACTTGATTTTTCCATGGAAGACATTGGGACCTTGAGAATGCAAGTACTCTATGGCCCGGGCAGCTCCAAGAGCGATGCCGCGCCTGATTTCCCAGCTAAGCAGGGTCTTTTCCGACCGACTGCCTCCATGTAAAAGTCCGTACAAGCTTCTCAGGGGCACGTAATCGAACAACAGGAGCTTCTCGTCTCTACTGTAATAGTAAGCCTTCAGGGGGAGTAGATTCTCGTGTCGCATCGCTCCCAATGCGTTCACCGTCTTCCTGAATTCACCAACGGGCAAGGCCACATCCCTCAGCCTCTTCACAGCCACCGTCCTCCTGTCCTCCAGGACCGTCTTGTAAGACGTCCCGACGGTCCCTTTCCCTAAAACCTCGGTACTGCCCATCAAAAAGTACTCCAAGTCAAACCCCTCCTCCGAAGGGTCCAAGAAGACCAGCTTGTTCGCCGCGCGTGCCGGCTTCTCCCCCTGAATTTCCGCAGCCTGCAGCACGGGTGGTGGATTGTTCTCCCCCGCTGCTCTGCTCCTCCTGTCACCCGACCTTCGCCCCGGATTACTCAGAGTCCCCGCCGCCATCATAACCAGAAAAGAAGAAGCCCCGAGTACGATCCGGTCACGCTATGCTCTCACTGCTATGGCAAGCATAAGACAGCTTCTTTCTCTTTCGTCTCCTCAGCCTCGTTAGCTCCAGGTCTTCGTCTTGCTCTTTCCCCCTCCTGGTCAACGATATCAGTAGCAGGAATAAAGTGTCTCAAGAAGAAAGGTACTTTACATTCACCACTGTGATCAACAGCGTGACATGAATCTATCCAATGAAGGACAGACACGCGACTTCCGGTGCAAGGAAGGACAGACTTTTCATCCAGCCATCATTGACTGAATTGCACAGAGAGCTTCTGTCTTCTTCTCGATTTTCATTTTTAAATATTCTTTTTCTCCCCCACTCCTTCAAAGACCAGCACGACCAATACTTGATTAAAAAAAAAGGAAAATACCATAAAAAACCTCAAATTACATCACTTATAATAAATTTACCATAAATTTTTTTTATGACACAAAAAACTCCAAACTATGTCACTTGTAATAAATTTACCCGGAACTTTTTTTTGTGACACGAAAAACCCCAAACTATATCACTTGTGACACATTTACCCTACAATACTTTGGCCATGGACATTTTCGTCTTTTTCCTTTTTCTGGTTTTTTTTCCTTTTTTTTTCTTTTCTTCTCCGGCGAGGGCAGACCTCGCCTGAGTCGGGCGAAGTCGCCCGACGCCGGATTTGGCGAGGGCGACCCTCGCCGGCGATCCGACATTTCCAGAAAAAGACGAAAATGCCCATGGGCCAAAGTATTGTGGGGTAAATGTGTCACAAGTGGCATAGTTTGAGATTTTTTGTGTCACAAAAAAATGTTCATGGTAAATTTGTCACAGGTGGCATAGTTTGAGGTTTTTCGTGTCACAAAAAAAAAGTTTAGGGTAAATTTGTCACAAGTGGCATAGTTTGGGATTTTTGGTGGTATTTTCCCCAAAAAAACATTACATATTTTTCATCTATCTTCTGGAAAAATAACTTACTTTCTGCAAAAGTTGAGCGTCTCCGATGTTTCTGGGCCACTGGGGTTACGTATAGGGCCCATGGACCCGGAATTGGGTCGAAATTTATGTAATCTCGCATTGAATGGGCTTTTCTGGCCCCAATGAGTTTAGCCGCTATTTTTAAGAGCGCGATTTCTAGTGTGTTACGAGATTAGGGCATGTGGAGATGCCTCCCTTCACCGCGAATCAGCAGGACTTGACAGCAAGCGATTCCGGCGTGTGGTCCGGAAGATACGAGCATCCAAAGCCGCGGCCACGGGTGGGTGACTGGGTAACTTTCTCGCGAAGCTACGGATCAATGCACATGAGCTTTAGGGTCGATCCTTGGTACGGATTCGGAATATTACCTGTGATCCTTCCGGTGACGCAAAAATCACGCGATTTGGTTGTTCTTGGATGGATTATCGAGTCCTTGAAGCCTGTAACTTGAAACTGGATACTCTAGAAATCTAGTTTTAAGCGTGCGTGGTCACTTTCGATGACTCATGCGGCCCGACCCGACATTTGATTGCCGTGTCGTTTCCGTTGGAACCAACACGCAAAACACTACAACATGTGAATTTCTCCTAATTTTCGGAAAATAATCGAATTGTCTGTTATTTTCCAGAAATTCCGAAATTTTTAAAAAAATTATGGAATATGGTATTCTGGACATCCAAAAATTTGCTACTCCATCCGGTCTGTCAAAAAATACACATTGGAGGTGGAAAATTCTGATACTTCTTAGACTTTGAAAGGTTTGATACAATTATGTAAGAAAATAGGAACCGATGTATATATATATAGTTTTATTTGTTTTCTGAGGACATTGGGTTGCGTGGAGGACCCATGGACACGGAATTGGGTCTTGTAGGGATTTTTCGTAATTTTGAACCAAATGGGCTTTTTGACTCATTGATAAATGCGTCAAAAGTCTTCAAACTTATAAAGTACAGCTGAGTCTTAAAATTTATAAAAAATACAATCGAGCCTTAAAATTTGTTAAGTTAATATAATTAAGTCTCACGGTTAATCCCATCTAATTTCTTCTTCTTCTTCTTCTTCTTCAAGCCTCATTCGGGAGTTCGTTTAGTGATTCTTGGCATGATTGGGGTGAGTCGAGGCAAAAGCACTTTCGACAAGTGCTATGAGATGGAGTTCGGGGAAGCGACACCACAAGGAAGGAGGAGGGCTTGTTGTTGTCAGTGAGTTGGATGGTCAGTATGAAGACGGTTTTGAGGATGTTAGAACCGTGAGCATTTGAGAAATTTAATCTTTTTCAATGTTTGAGATACTTGTCTTGTATGCTGCCTGATGTGTAAGAGCTTGAGACCACTTTCTAGGTGGGGCTTCTTGCGATTGTAGTTATTGATGGAGATTTTGGAAACATTACGAACATGTTTCTTGATTCTTTTCAGGTTTGGTGTTTGGTCCTTTATCGTGTTTTTTCTGGGGGTGAAACAGAGAAAACTAATCCTTGTCTGGATGAGAATGTTAAATGCTGAAAACTTTCACTTGTACCATAAACTAAATGATGTCGGAGTTATGCCGTCAGGGCTTTGGCCTGGTGATGCGTGGATTCGGTTTGCTAGGTGTGTGTCCAAGGATTGAATCCCAGGGAGAGCGAGAAAAACAATATGATAGTTATCTATCGGCTGTTTTGATTAAATCCAAATGTTTTGTCTGTGGATTTCATGTGTTAGAAAGGTAGTACCTTTTATCCGGCGGCTATTCAAGATTACATTTGTGCAGCATTGATGTATCATGGGACTATGGAAATTCGACAGTTCCCACGAGGGTTTATCGGGTGATTGGTTCCATTCTTGCTATGGTGGAAGCAGTGAAACGCAACGTACATACACTATTTTGGACTTTGTTGCGGGAGTTTTTCAAACCGTAATCGACGGTATCTAAGTTTAAAGTGTCGATCAGAGTTTATGTAGGATAAACCTTTTATGAATGTTCTTTTAGCGTGTATATTTGCGTCATCGATAGGCCCTCTTAAGTGAATATATATCCATAATCCAATAACCATAACAATTCCTCTTCTGCCATTTACAGGAGAGACACGACCTCGTTGATAGAGTGATGGTAACACGTCTTCACCTATATGGAAAATAGATCAAGGTACCAAAGATTTACATCATCTAGTTCATAAATATCCAATCAGGGTGGGATTGATGCTTACGTGCGTTGTTGGTTGTCTGTGCAGAAATGTGATCATGCCAAATTAACAAAGGAATCTCCGACGAGAACTTGGAGTTAATGCGGATTGAGACCGTGATATGGCCTGCAGATGATACCAATACCGAGAAGATTGGTTGATTAGTTGCTCTGTCTGAATCTAAAATCGGCATCTTTTTTGTTCCCTGTTTCATTGCTACCTTTCCTAGTTTAGGTTTCTGCTTGCCTCAAGAGAAAAGTGATTTTCACTCTCCATTTGTAAATCTTCAAATTTTTTGCCTGTAAAGTTGTATATATTGGAACCAACATCATTTTAGCTCAGTGAAGGAATGCTGAGGTTGAGAGTTCGCTCAGTGGCTCCTCTATTTCTTTTGCAAATATTTCGGTCAATTGATCACTTTTTCCATTAGAGTCTACATTGGCAGTGCAATGGCTGGCGTAGAATTCAATTTTTATTTTTCAGCATCATATCATATACATCAATGGATATCGAGTTCTGTTCAAGTGTATTGAGTTATATTGTTGCGTTTGGTCACCTGAAATGCATAAGGGATCGATTATTAGCTTTCCGATGATATTATGCCCTTTAGAAACTCTCGATCAGGGGACTAAGCTTCAGACATTACACTTGACACTAGATTGGACCATGCAACTATTTCAAGCAGTTAACATTCACTTCAAGGAAATTATCGACATACTCCAGTTGCGATAAATTACGTACATTGTCAAGCCTAATAAGTTTGCATAAGCCAATGGATATGTTGCAACCTTTTTGTCTTCTTGTTTCCATAACATCTCCCTTTTACTATGAATCAATACCGGCTATTAGTAACAATTTGGTGGAAAGGTCGTTGCAGAAACTAGAAGTAGACCTGGTGAATCTTGTGCCGTTTCGGTTTTGAAAGGCGAAATAGACTAGTCAAGATAGGCACATATATTGGAGCGTCACATGAAAATGAAGGTAATTCCTTCTCGGGTTCCCGTGTTGCCTGCAGTACAAGAGTGCAGATCCCTACACACAGCATCAAAGAAAGCATTGGAGACGTTTTTTTCGATGAACATTTAGGCATCTTGACAAAACTTAGTAATTAAGCAGCCATATCCTTTGGATCTCAGTGGTCAATGTGCGTTCGCAAAGTCCTAAATCATAAATTGGTCAACAATGACATATTCAATGAGTCAAATCAAGATGGTAGAAAACTGAGGCCTTTACTGGAATTTTACTTCAAGGTTTCAGGTAAAAGAATAAAAAGACCTCAATAGATTCTCAAGTAACTGTTGCCAAAGAAAATATCTCTGAGCTTTAGAAGATCATTTCCAACTTGGCAATTCAATGGCTGTCCAAAACAATATCCAAGCATGGATCGTGGTATCTCAAAATTTTTGAATTTACAGAACTCATCCGCATATGTATGTAATGCAGCAACTGTGTACACTCTAGAGACCAAATGATGCACTCCACAGTGGCAACCATGGTCTATAAAGACTCGAGATTCAAAATACTAGAATTACAACAGTGAACTTCCAAAGGCAACCCAGGTAACTGGTGGGGCACCAGAAAAGCTCCCTGCGCTGCTTACAAGAAGAACTATAACTGTAGTCTGCTAAACCTGCAAAAGCATGATCAACGGTGTACCCTCTAAAGCTTTCAGTTGACAACCAATGGCTTTGTTTGACTTTTTCCAGAGAAATGCCTATTAAAGAAATGATTTACAATAGTAATTGGGCAACACCATCAAGCAAAAGAAAAATTGCAGGATTTAGTTCAAGAGACAGTAAGGTGGCACCGTTTGATATAAATTATGCCAACGTGAGGACCGTTCATTGGCATGAAAATTGAGTGATATTCCAGCTCAATTTACCAATGCCAGACTGGTAAAAAAAACAGAAAGGAAACAAACAGAACATTTCACCTTCCATGCTGTCCAAAACATTGGAAGACAAGGTATCATCTGTCAAAAGCACCAGCAGTTACCAAGCTGAGATCGTCTATCCACTACAAGTCAAGCTGAAAAGTGGAATTAAGAAGGCCGTGTTTAGATCCTTCGTGCCCGCCTATAAATATACGGCAGAGCCTCGATTATCACGATTGTTACTTCTACATGTCCGCTAGAAAAATTACAATTGAAGTCCGAAACAAAATATTGCTAAACAGAATATTGTGAATGTAGAAACTCTGGAAACTTACACGATAACCTCTAATTCCACTTCTAATATTATTCATCTGTTAATGATATTCAATTAACACAAATTAATACTTAACTCTCAGATAATTAAGAAGAATGTAAGAGAGAAGACGCGAGCTGATGCCAAGATAGTCAATCTTGGAAAATCTGAGTAGTCTGTTGACAATGTTTAGCTTTGAATGCTAATGGACTTATATCAAATGTCTCTTTTAACTATTCTTACCTATCTAAATTTCACGGATCTGCAGATCAGTGAAGAAACAAAAACATTTCACCATTACACTGTATTTTGAGTTTGTCATGAATTTGATTATGGATCTTATAGTGACTAGTGTCTCACTAATTTTAGGTTGTCTTTAACGAGTATGCTTATTTTGCAGGCTGCAAACTGATTGACACACTGAGGCATGGACCTTAGTCTTTGTAAACAGTATAACTGATTTACACGCTTTTGAGAATGCTTATGCATGGTGCATGGCAAGTCTCAGATGATAGTATTGACTTGATCGTTGGAGCTGAGTATATATTTTTCTGGTCAGGATGTTTGAATGCAATTGTTAATTGTGAATGCAGTGGACTTCTATGAATTTGCATGGTAGAGAAACAGACTATCTTTCTTGTAGACAAACGGAAAAAATGACTTTTACATTGATAAGGACGCCTGTCCATGAGATTCTGAAAAGTTATATCCTTATCAGTACACTTATTGATGGACTCGCTTGATGTTGTTGTTGTTAGGGAAAATGACACAAACAGTCCCTAAACTTTGACTCAACATGCAATTTGGTCCCTGAACTTTTAATTTATTCAATATAGTCCATGAACTTTAACCCAATGTTCAATGTGGTCCTTGAACTTTCAATTTGTTCAATGTGGTCTTTGAACTTTTGATACATATTCAATATAGTCCCTGAACTTCCTTCCATTAATTCAAGTTCAGGGATTATATTGTACATTTTCATATAGTTCATGGACTAAATTGAACATATACCAAAAGTTCAGGGATTATATTGAACAAATTAAAATTTCAGGGACCACATTGAACATTAGGCTAAAGTTCAGGGACTACATTGAACAAATTAAAAGTTCAGGGATCAAATTACATATTGAGCTAAATTTCAGGGAATATTTGTGTCATTATCCCTTGTTGTTAATGTGACTGCAGTACCACTTCTTTGGATTCCACGTGGGAAACACTTTGGCCTCATTTTGGCAATGCTTTAAGATACTGTATAGAGCTCTCCATTTTGAAAAATATTTAATATTATGGACTTGTTTGGAAAACTATATAAATGAACTGCCTTTTAAATGGTCTCGTTTTTGCTTCAAAATATTTTTGGTTGTTTCTGCTTTTGTTCTCTTTTTTGTTCAAAGGGACAAATCCAAAAAGTCGATTTTTTTTTTCATTACTATGAATGTGGAAATTATTGCCTAATAGATATTGTGTACATGTTTTTTCTCCACTCAAAAACATTAAAACAGTTCTTGTTTTTGGTTCCGAAAAATTGTTCGCTAAAGAGTAATCTTCAAGATCACTTTTTGGAAAAGCACCATCATCCATAGGCTTATTGAGAAAATACATCAAGGTAAAAAAGAATTTGGTTTAGAAGTCCTTTTGTGGAGTCTCAGCAAAACTGCGATGGAGGGTGGATTTGGGGTAGATTGCTTGCCGATCGATTATACTCAGTAATGCAGATGATCGACTATACTCAGTAATTCCCTTGTATATAATGGTCCTTTTTTTCCCAAATACCAGCACATGGGTAGCCTTTGACTTAGATGCCCCCGGACTTGCATTGTAACTGGGGTAAGTTTTTCGATGCTCCATCTATGGCGGAGTTGCGAAAGCGTTGGAAATGGGAACATTAAATGCTCATCAGCATGGTTTGTCGCAATTTTAAGGCATGGTACTAATCCGGTGTATGCAGTAGCACGTCATGTATGCCATCTCTAAATATGGAGACATATTTCATTCATCCAGTTCACCTTTTTGCTTGGACCTACTAGTGTAATAGTTTTGAGCTGATCTTGATGTCATAGAAGGGTATTGACTTATACGGCGGTCTTGCTATATGTTGCAGCTGAGCTGTTTGTGAATGGAGATATCGTTCAAAGATCGCCCGAGAGGCAAAGGAGAGTGGAGCCGCAACCTCAGAGAGCTAAGGACAGGCCAAGATACAGTGACAGGACAAGATACGTCCGCCGCAGAGAGAACATGGGTTGACGTGAGAAATCCATGAACAATATGCATATGGGTTCTGTTCAGAGTATGCCTTGCGGGCTTGCGAGTCTTTATCCATGTTCCCGCAATGCTTAGTCGACTTTGGACCGGGGTTGATGGATTTGTTTTGTGCTGCTCTTTCAGATTTGCACGAACTCCTTTTATTGTTAAGATGATGCATGTAAGTCCTGTGGTTGGATTTCCATAGCGGAAAATCATATAAAGTTGTTTTTATACCGTGTCCGAAAACCGGTGGTGTTCTTGGTCCAGACAAGAGCGAATGAACTGAATTGCTGGCTTTGTCGATTTTCGGAGATGCGTTCCTGTGGAATAATTGATATTGATGGGATATGAGACTGCTCTTTTGTTGTAAATTAAGGATGATGTTCCTTAGAAGATCATTGCCGAGGTGCTGGCTAATTTGTTTGGAAGGGGTTCTTGATTCTCTGGAGTCTTAAAACTCTCTAGGGCATTGGTTCCAGTTCCGGTTCCGATTCCGGTTCCGGGACGAATTAGCACAGAAAATATTGTGTTAGCTTGTGAGTTTATTCATTAGATTCAAGAGACAAAGGCGAGGAAGTTTGTTCCCGCCGGTCTCATAAACCTAATATGAAAATGTCGTGACGAGATCGAATCGAATTGTCTGCGCGGCGCAGTGCTCATCCTTAGCCCACAATGTGTCGCAACTGTGTCTTTAACTTGCTTGTTGCGATGAAGTCTTTATCTTGGAGCCTCTATGATTTAGAAAATAAATCTAGGGTTAATATCATTAAAAACCGTAAATTGATATACATGTGGTAAATTTATACTAAATTAATTTTTTGACCATCAAAAATCCCAAATTAGTACGCCCGTGAAAAATATACCTTTCGTTAGTTTACCGTCAAATTGCTGAGTTGAATAACACGTGGCAATTGACGGGTGTACCAGTTTAGAGTTTTACCCCTCTGTTTGTCACAAATTTACCAATTAATGATTTTGTTGTGGTATTAATCCAATTTAACGGAAAATAAATTTGTTACAAACGTACTAGTTTGGGGCTTTTAGTGATTAAAAAAATTAGTTTGAAGTAAATTTATTATATATATACTAGTTTGGAGTTTTTCGTGGTATTAACCTATAAATCTAATCAATTAAGGAAGAAAGATAAAAGTGAAAACAAATTTGATTATGAAAGGATGACGTCATGTCCATTTATATTGAGAACAAGTCATTTAGCTGTGGGGACTAGGAATAATCTACCCTAAATTCGTGAAAATGTAAGTTAAAGAATAATTTACCAACATAATCGGTCGTCCTGAATTACAAAAATTGTGTCCAAAGAATTTAAGGGCTATAATATCACGAAAACCCCAAAACTTGTACATTTGTGACAAATTTATTCCAAACTAATTTTTTGACCACTAAAAACCCCGAGCTTGTACATGTGTTAACAAATTTACCCTCCGTTAGTTTCCGTTAAATTAGATTAATACCACGAAAAATCACAAACTGGTACACCCATGTGTCATTTAACTCAGTAATTTGACGGTAAAATTTAACGGAAACTAACGGAAGATAAATTTGTTATAAATATACCGATTTGGGGTTTTCCACGGTGTTAATCCAAAATTTAAAAGCATCCACTCTTCATAAGGAAGGAGAATCTGTCATAACTTAAAAAGGAAAGTACTTGTGTGAGTGGTCACCTGTGCTCAACCAGTGAACAAATATCCATATATGAGAGGAAAATACAAAATATATATAAAAGGAAAGGCAATCCCTAAATTATTTATATTCCATTTTTGGAGCACCAAAATCAATCCTTCTAGACCAAAGTTCAACCACTGATGCCAGTGGCCACCTTTTTTATTTGAGAAAGAGAGGTGAGGAGTTCGATTCTTCATTTTCTTAGGAGATTTTAGAGGTAGGGACGTTTAGTTTCGGATATGGGTTTCGACTCCCACGCCCCGCAAAGAGATATGGCGAAAGACGAAAGTCTGAGAGTAAGTTGAGAGATAAAATATGATAGGAAAAAAAAAAAAAACCAAAGTTCAACCGGTGCATTTACATTCAATTGATGATATCACAATCTTACGTGTGAGCACAAACGGAAATAATTCCTTGCGACACTTAATTTGCGGAACACGTGTTCCCCTTATAATTATTCGATCCTCTCAAATCAATCGGATAACAAGACTTGACCCTATGATCGATCTCTCGCGCAAGCCCACGCCTTCCGCCTCTTCAAATTAAAATCTGTCGCGGAACTCGATCTGCCCGCCATAATCAGTCGTCCCCGACTACAAAAAAATTGCCCATATAAAGAGAGAACCTGTTATGGCCGAGGAACGAGAACATACTATAATCATTGATCATAATCCTAAATAAGCTGGACGTGCAAGGCGTGAAAGCCGTAGGCTTCATCGTAGGGGCCGGACGAGGCCCGGAACGGGAGCTGGAGCAGAGACCGGTGGCCGAGCGGCGGACCGAGGCCGGCCGCCAGAGACTGGGTCGGCAACGAACCCTGCTCAACCTTCGCAATGGTCGTGACGAGCCGGGACTGCCCCCTCTCGACCGTGCTCGCCGGAGCTCTCCTAAAGCGGAAAAATGAACGGAAAAGCTTTCTCGAAAACCCTAAAATAAAACGGAAGGAAAAACGAAAATGTATTTAGCATTCCGGAAATAAGAGTTTTCCATCATCATTTTAACCAAAGTTTTTGCTTATTAAAGATCGGTCATTTGAGATTCTGACATGGACGTACTCATCAGATGACGCGGTCGTGTCGGAATATATTCATATAAAAACCTAGCGCACGTCCTCTCTTCTTCACCCCACCCTCCCTCCCTCCCCCCTGCCCCGCCCCCCTCCGCCGCCGCCTCCGCCGCTCGGCGACGGCGTTGGACCTCGCGAAGGGCCACCGGCGGCCCGTCGCCGGCCCGATCGACGTCGATCCGGCGTCCCGGGCGCGCCCAAGATCCGAGGTCTCCATTTGCTGCCCCCGCTCGGCCGAAGATCTCGTCGACCCTCGTCTTGTTCTGCTGTGCCGTGTAAGTTTTTCTTGGCTCGGTGTCGATTCTTTGCGTGACTTTTGACTGGTAAATTTAACTGATACAAGGGGCCTCGGCTCAGCTGACGATTGAAAATGCGAAGGGACTACTGATCTTTCAGCTCGAAGCCCGGGCACGATGAAGAGACCCTTTGCCGACGCGGCGGCCGAAGTTTTGCCCGAGGACATCGTCATCGAGCTGCTCCTGAGGCTGCCCGTCAAGTCGTTGATGCGGTTCAAATGCGTCTGCAAGCGGTGGCGGTCTCTGATATCCGACCCGGACCTGGCCAAGACCCACCTGCAGAGGCTGAAGGCGGGAGACATGGTTTCAAGACAGAGGATCTTCAAGACCAGCCCCATCGAGACCATAGACTACCAGGCGTACGACGGCGTCGGCGGCATTGATGATCGCGCGGTGGTAGAGTTTCATGAGCTGAGGATGGAGGATACTGCCTGGGAGCCATACCTCGTGGGGTCCTGCGATGGCTTGGTATGTTTGTTTGTCCCCGGCAGATTTCTCTTGTATAATCCGTCCACCAGGGAGTGCAAGGATTTGCCCAATTCCGATCTTTTTCAACTGGATGAGGGTTGGGATTTGCCCGGTTCCGATCTTTTCGAGCTGGAAGAGCTATTCGTTGGATTCGGATACGACCCTCGATCCGATGACTACAAAATAGTACAGGGCGACGGTGTCGAAAATTGGCAAGTGGAAATATTTTCGCTCAAGTCCGCTTCTTGGAGAATCAAGCAAGTCCAACCGGAAAACGACCTCCCGGTTACGGAAAGGGGAGTTTATTGGAATGGGGCCTTACACTGGTGCGTCATCGACGAGAGCAGAAGCAGGGGCGAGAGTGTGATCATGTCATTCGATTTGTCGGAAGAGAAATTCCATCAGGTGCTTTCGGTCCCCGAAGTCGATGGGGAAATACTTTTCGAGGGACTTGGAACTCACGGGGCCAATCTGTTCATATACCATGTTTCCATCATAAATGACTGCTTCGAGGCATGGATAACAGGTGACAACGCATCATGGACAAAATTTTTCAGTGTTCTGACTGATGGCATATCTCTCTACAAATATGTGAAGATTCCCGCGTGCACAAGGGGCGGAAAAATCGTTTTTCAGATTGATATGCACCAGATGACACTGTTCGATCCGGAGGATGATACTTATGAGGAATATCCCATCCAAAGCGACAACGATGTCGAATCTGTTATCTATTTGGAAACTCTTGTTTCTCCCTATCTTGGCTGTGAGCGGTCAAGAATCGAGAGCCTTTAAGAGTTGTTCCTGTGCATTTTAGTTTTACCGATTTGGTTCGAGTTTACTTTCTTGCCAAGATCTGGCCATCTTGAGCTATTGAATGATCTTGTGGATTTTGAAGAAGAAATAAAGAGCGTCCATTGTGCTTTCAGTACTCTGTCCTAGGGGTGTGCATGGTCCGGGTGGGCGGTTCCCACCCCGGAACCGTGGACCGCCCGCTACAGGACCGGTTCCAAAAATTGGAACCGAGAACCGCCCGTCGGTTCCATGGACCCGCCCGAGAACCGGACCGCCGGTCCGGTCCGGTTCTTGGGCCGGTCCATGGAACCGGTCTTAACAAGTTTTCCTAGACAAATAAAAAAAAAAATCTGTGGACCAACATCGGATCAACAGAACAAATTAAAGGAAAAGAACATAACTTTTCATACAATTCCTACACTATGATCGATTATATTAACCACGTCATCCATAAATCAAGTGGGTACCCATTAATTATTGAGAAAAATGACCAAGGTATCCCAACTACACAAGAGCTTCAGACATGATAACAAATTTTCTTCTTTTTTTTAATTTTTTTTTGTCAAATTTTTTTAATTAAAAAAATAAATATATTATTATTATATTACCGATCCGGTCCGGGTGGGCGGGTGGACGGTTCCACACCGGGAACCGGCCCAAACAGTACCGGTTCCAAAAAATTGGAACCGGGAACCGGACCGGTTCCGGTCTGGTTCCGGGCGGTCCGGGCGGGTCCCGGTTCTTTTGCACACCCCTACTCTGTCCTCTCCAGATTTGAGGTTAGATTCTGCTCGTGCTAGAATATTCACCGCACTAGCTAATGTTGTTGTCCAATCTGGTTTCGTTTAATTTCACCGGCAATTTATTTGGTCTCGTTATGGAGTGAACATTCAACTATAATCGAGTGAATGTTAAAGCAAGCACATAGTAATTTGGTTGCAGTGGAATGAGAGACACATGATTGTAATGAGAAAACTGAATAACTAGGTTTACACAAAGCCTTAACCATAAGTCGACGAAAGCAGAAGTTTCAGTTTAAGCACCTATTAGAAGACACAGCTAAATCTGCCTAGTGACTGAGGAACAAGCAGAATCCATTCAATAAATGTTGTAGAATTCGTTACTTTTTCCACTTCCCCTTGAAAGTTGAACACTCCGGATAAACGAAAGCTTCGACGGGAGTGAGACATAGTAATTACAAGCTGGACGCAATCCACGTCTAGACTTGTGAAAAGGCTGGTAGCATAGGACTTTTGCATGCATAGTGAGGGCCGGTATACAGGAGTAACCAATCTCCATCGAGTTTGAGCCTTATGACAGCAATGCGAGGGTCGATTTCCGGCAGCAGTATTAATCTGGGGCTATTAAGATATGGCTCCGAGTCGTGTGTGCCATCTCTGACTACGGAGTGCATTTTTCATAAATCCAATGCACCTTTCCGTTTGGACTTACTAATGTATTAGTTTCTAGCTGATCTTGATGTCATACAAGGGTATTAACTAATAGTGTATTCTTGCTGTTTGTCGTAGCTGAGTTGTTTGTGAATGGAGAGATTGTTCAAAGGTCACCTGAGAGGCAAAGGGGAGAGTGGATCCGCAACCTCAGAGAGCTGAGGACAGGCCAAGATCATCCAAGGACAGATCAAGACATGTTCGGCGCAGAGAAAACATGGGTTGATGCGACAAATCGGTGAACAATATGTATATAAGTTCAGTTCAGAGTATGCCATGAGGGAATGCAAATCTTTATACTTGTTCCTACAATGCTTAGTTAACTTTAGACTGGTGTAAATGGATTTGGTTTTTTTGCTGCTCTTTCAGACTTAATATGAACTCCGTTTATTGTTAGCATGATGCATGTAAGGTCCTGTGCTTGGATTTCCATAGCCAAAGGAAAATCATATAAAGCTGTTATCTTATACCTAGTCCAAAGATTTGGTGCTGTTCTTGGTCCTGACAGAGTGAATGAACTGAATTGCTGCCTTTGTCGAGTTTTCGAAATGCATTCCTATGGAAGAATTGATGTTGATGCTTTCTAAGACCGCTCTTTTGTCGTAAATTTATCTAATGTCCTTTAGAGAACCATTGCCGTGCTGGCTAATTGTTTCGAAGGGGTTCTTGAATCTATAGTGTCTCAAGTTAGACATGTCAAACTGGTGAGTCGGGTCGGGTTTGGATTGGGTCATAAATGATCCGACCCAAAAACTGTTTATAACCCATTTAACCTGTTTATGATTCATTTATCGCAATATAAATTTCTCGACTCAAACTCGACTCAACCCGACACATTTAACTAAATCTAGGAGAGCTTGTTTGTTATGATTTTTTTTAAAATTATATTGTTAAAACACTTTTATGCAATACAAATCTAGTGGACAATTTACATATATATTTTTTTAAAATTGAGATTCCGTTTGTTTCGTAGAAAATGTTACATTTCTAGAAAATATTTTCTAGGAGATCATTTTATTTTCCTATATTTTGGCTGAAACTTGAAAATGAATAAGAAAATATTTTCTGTTGTTTGGTATGGAAAATCAAATTTGATTTTCCTTTATACATTTATTTTAATAATTTTTATTTTTTAAAAATCATATTTTAATTATTTTTCTTTTCCTTTTTTCTTTTATTTTTTTCTTTTTTCTTCTTCCTCCGCCGGCCACGGCATGCTGTCGTTGTGGCCGGCCATTGGTGGAGGAAGAAGGAAAAAAAGAGGAAAAGAAAAAGAAAAAGAATAAAAGAATAAAAATATTATAAAAAATTCAGAAAAAAAAAATCAGAAAATGAAAAAAATAAAAATGACATGTTTATGATTCACTTAAGTTTAATACCCATTAAATTAATAGGAAACCCGTTTATGACCCATTTAAGCTTATTTTTAAAATTAAAGTCAACCCATTTATGATTCCCAATCATTGAATATGAAATAATATATGGGTTATTGACCCACATTGCACCTCTATCTCGAATCCGAGGGGCATTTGATAACATCAATTGCTACTAGGTACAGCACCATCACATCACATTACATTCACAAGAAGAAAAAGGGGCCTTTATATGTTCGAAAAGAGAGCTTCTTTTACGTAAGAAAAGAAATCACTAGACTGAACGACTCCGGCAAATGCAACATTCTTGACACTATTCTCTCCCATTCTGTTGTTTATATGCCTCCCTACTCGAATATCTATCATGCCAATCCCGTCGTCCTCCACATTCTTGCTGGCACCAGCCAAGTTGAAATTACTAAAGCCACGGTTTCCATTGTGTTTGATAATTCAGATCAAAGTTGAAATACTCTTGAATTTTGTACTTATATTTCATAGTCTAACTCCAAATAATAGAGAGCAAACTCATTTTATCACATTTGAAATTTCATAGAAATGTATTTCACTCATGGTCAAGCAGATAATTATAAAGGCACTTTTTATTAGTTGTGGAATGAAACGACAAAATAAATAAAAAACTTAATTGTCATTGTTTTATTATAAAAAAAAAAGGAAACTTTCCAAACTTTCGTGTAATAAATAGGTCTTCTGGCAACTCTAGAGCTTGAATCCACACAAGCTCCAACCTTTTTCGCGTTCACTACAACTTTCTTGGTGTCTACATGAATTTAAATATGTAAAAAAAAATCAAAAAAATCAATGAATTGACTTTCTTGGTTTTATGTATTTGATAAGAAGCTATGTTCTATTCTTTATCTCAATGCAAAAATTATTATTTGAATGCTAGTACAAGCAAGTAGACAAGAAACCACCCATATTGTGGTGCTATGATACTGTAGACATGAAGCGCCTTTGTTGCAATGCGAGATGCAGTCCACATTACATACAAATGGGTTGGGGTCAAAGAGACAGAACAATGCATACTTCAACACGCACAACTTAAATATGCCTGCGTCGACACGGATAGACGACCTTAGAGCCACCACGAACATTTTCGGCCCTATTCTCTTGGATGCCGTTACCTCCATTCTACTCACAGCTAATCTGTTCTTAGCCCCTCTCTCTCTTTTCTTAATGAGTTTTGACAGCTTTATAACCTCGTATAGTGATATGTTGAGATGAACCAATGTAGCACATTTAAGATTCATTCAAGTTGTTATGAAGAGGAGAAAGATTATCCTTTTCCTTCAATAAATTATAGATTGTATATTTCTCTATTTAATTTTATCATAATTATATGATAAAGTAATGGTCCCGCTTTTTCCACTCCTCATTAAGCTTAGACACTCCTTTTTTGTATATTTTGACCATATTATCCCTTGTATGGCCCACCGCTTCCCTTATAACTCTACAAAAGTTATCCATTTTTATTTTGCTTTTTGTTCTTTTTCTTACAAGTCCCACTTTCCTTCTTTTTCTTTTTTATCAAGCCCAAATCGTCTCTCTGTTTTCTCTACCATTTTGTTGTTTTTACGCCTCCCTACTCGAATATCTATCATGCCAACCCCGTCGTCCTCCACACTCTTGTTGGCACCAACATTGGGCTCAACCCAACGAGCCCTTTTTCTCCGCCACACGCAGCCTGAATAATTCTGTACTTGTGAGGGGGTCTCTGAGGTTTTGTGGACTAACGGATTGCTGCTTCAATAATTTCGTATTTGCTTTGATTTGTTTCATGAGCATGTTAGGGAGATCTTTGCTCTAATTATTGATTGAGAAGCACAAGCTCGAAGGAAAACATAAAGCGAAAATTGTCGGAGAAGCTGTTCTAGCAATACTATCAATGGAGAGTCATCATCCATTGACATTATTGTCCATGGACTCTCGCTTTTTGTCTCACGATGAATTGGAGAGAGATAGATGGCTCGATCATCCATGGAGGACCACTTGATATCAATCTCCCTTTGTCATCAAGGCCTAGTCCACCCTCTCTGCTTTGGAATGACCCTTGTGATATTTTAAATGTTGTTTGGGACACTAACTTTACCAAATAGAGATGAATGTTAATATCCTAAAAGTGGGGCATAAGAGTAACAAGCACCTTGATAGTGCATGGAGCGCCTGGTTTTTCTTTAGTTTCTACTTCAGGCCTATTTTGAATGAAAAATCAAAGTCCAAATTAGTTCAAGACCGTAATGGTGTGCCCGACTTTCAGAAATCAGACTTGCCACTCGATGCTTTTACACATGGGTTTTCAAGGAAAGGCCTAAAAATGCTCTCGGCAAAATGCACATGAGAAGTTACATGACCGGGCATAGTCGGCAAGGGGAGCATCCATTTCCCTGTAGGGGGTTTTGTGCGTTCTCATAGGATGCAGAGGAAGCATTACCGTGGCCTCTCGAATCTCCATTGGAAAGTGTGGAGGACAATAGGGTTAGCATCACGGGGTTGGCATCACATGGAGGTGTATAAAGAAGAGAATGGGAGAGAAAACGGAGAGATGATTTAGGCGTGGAAAGAAAGAAGAAGAAGGAAAGTGGGACTCGCAAGAAAAAAAGAAATAAGAAACAAAATAAAAAGGAATCAGTTTTGTAGAGTTATAAGAGAAGTGGTGGGTCATACAAGGGATAGTATGGTCAAAACACACAAAAAATGAGCGTAGCAGAAAAAGTGCTACGCTAAAGTAAAAGTTTGACTAATAAACTTTCCGTAGGTGCAAAATTCGAGTTAATTTGATCATTCATATTTCTCACCATCAATTTTTTTTTTGTTGTTGCTAGAAACACCATCAACTAGTTCTTGGATAGCATTAATAGCAATCAAAATTCAACTTTGTTTTCTGTTATCAAATCCATTTCTATTCAATTCTATCTGAAAACTGTTCATGTATAAAATATAAATTCTTTATTTTGATACATTACCAAATATCAATCTATTCCTTTGTTTTGTACTTGTTATATTATAGTCAATTCAATAAGTTGAATTCTTGTTCATATTGAAATGAATCAAAATTAATAAGGAGCTGGTCAATGATACTCAAACATGTACTTGTTTTGAGTGCCTATTTATTTTCTATTGGTATCTATGGATTGATCACGAGTCGAAATATGGTTAGGGCCCTTATGTATCTTGAACTTATCCTCAATGCGGTTAATATAAATTTCGTAACATTTTCAGATTTTTTAAGAGAAGTGGTGGGTCATACAAGAGATAGTATGGTCAAAACACAAAGAAAATGAGTGTAGCGGAAAAAGTGCTGCGCTAAAGTAAAAGTTTGACTAATAAACTTTCCGTAGGTGCAAAATTCGAGTTAATTTGATCTTTCGTATTTCTCACCATCAATTTTTTTTTGTTGTTGCTAGAAACACCATCAACTAGTTCTTGGATAGCATTAGTTAGTTCTTTCGAAATAAATTCAATCATGCTTGCAAAGAAAGACAGTGTAAAAAGATGTTAGATAATTAATTTATTTTCAATCAAATATTTATATTTTTCGAACAACCATTCGATGAAACTAACTTCTTCCAGAGATGTGACAATAAGTTGCCATCTATGCTCACAAGTCCATCTACTAATTAAGAAATTTCCCTATGTGTTGTGTATTTAATCAAGATTTCGATCCTTTAGAATTTAAATTGGATTCTCGATTACCTTTTAATTGTGGTCACAACTCAATGTCGTGGACACCTTAACATAGGCCAATCTCCAAAATAAACACCGATGACACAGAAAAGAACCAGCTTTCGGCGTTACAATAGAACAAACCAATCACTCGAACCACTCCAAATCAATCTTTTGCCAACTGCAAACACTATGCTGCTGTATTTGCGCGCCTGCTTCGTCGGTAGCGGAGTTGCTTTGTTGCGTTTTCGTGCGTTTGTACGAGAATGGAGGTACAACAGGAATCAGAGAGGAATGAGTCAGAAATGGGAAAGTGGAATGTCACAGAGGACGACGATGCCAAAAGGGTCTTCGAGTTTTCTTCTTCTCCCTCTAGCGATTTTCTCGGTAAAGCCCCTTTCCTCTGAGATTTTTCTGCA